CGTCGATCTGTCCCTCATTAAAAACTCTGTACATTTCTTTTCTCTCTTTTGTCTATCTATCTATCTATCTATCTATCTATCTATCTATCTATCTATCTATCTATCTATCTATCTTTAACATCTATCTGTTCATATCTATCTATTTTTTTATCTATCTATCTATCTATCTATCTATCTCATCTCGATCTATCCTTCTTTCTTTTTATCATATCTATTCCCATCTATTACTTTTTCTCTCTTTTATCTATCTATCTATCTATCTATCTATCTATCTATCTCTATCTATCTCCTCCTGTTACTCTATGTAACGTCATCTTTTAAAACTCTCTATACATCTTTCTCTCTTTATATCTATCTATCATCTATCTATCTCCTCCTGTTACTCTATGTAACGTCGATCTGTCCGTTAAAATCTATTCCCAATCTGTACATTTCTTTTCTCTCTTTATGTCTATCTATCTATCTATCTATATATCTATCTATCTATCTATCTATCTATCTATCTATCTATCTCATTCTGTTCATATCTATCTATCTATCTCTATCTATCTATCTATCTATCTATCTATCTCAGTCTATCTATCTATCTATCTATGTAACGTCCAGTTTAGTTATCTATCTATCTATCTATCTATCTATCTATCTATCTATCTATCTATCTATCTATCTATCTATCTATCTATCTATGTCTATCTATCTATTATGAACGTTGTATATCTTATCATTTAAGCCCCTTTTAAAATTACTTCTCAACAATGAAAAATGAACAAAGTAAAATTGATTTTTAGTCAAACACTTTCATCCTTAATATTTTCCCGCTTTCGCTTTAATCATTTTTCTGGAGACTTTTTCATTTAATTTAATTTCATTTGTCTTTTCCTGAAAACAAATGCAATTTTCTTTTTTTCATTTTTGTAAATCTATTTTTTTTTATTCTTAATTTCCTTCGCTTTTTTCAAAATATGTTTCCCTTTCCTTTTTGTTATTTTTTTTTTCTCAGCTCTCAAAATATTTTCCCTTTCCTTGAAATTTTAACACACACACACACACACACACACACACACACATATATATATATATATATATATATATATATATATATATATATATATATATATATATATATATATATATATGTCGGAGCTATAACTGAAATGTGCGTGCGAATTAAGTTTTGATAAGAAGTGATGAAATAATATGTAATCATTTTCTTTTTTTCTCAGATATACAGTATAAAGTAAATTCGGGCACATAATGTATTTTTGTTTTATTATATTTTTTTATCAAAAGTGCCGGAATATTGTGGCTAGCGAAATTAGCTCTGTGCGAAAACGCTTTGTGAGAAAAATTAATAAGTTTTCAAGACATCGAATTAATTTGTGAAGGAGAGTAATGACGTGTGTATTACTATTTTTATATTGAATAGGAAGTTTGAGAAATATTTTTTCGAATATATATATATATATATATATATATATATATATATATATAAAGGAATAGAAAAGTTGACTTCAATCGATGAAATATTGATTGGTTTTGACAGACGTAATTACCTTGAGAGCAAAACATATTATTTTCTCTTCGATATTAAAAGGCTGTAAGCATCACGGATCTTGTGATAAAACCTATGTATTCTTTTGCTGATATAATCGAGAGATGATTGCGAGTTAAGAAAGATAAGAAAAGACGTAGGTAGAACCCTTATCACTCACGTTAATTACAATCTGAGACAATTATTGGAGGAAAAAATAAAAAAAACAAAATATGAAAAAAACGGTATCCGAGATAAGGACAGGAGTCTTCTTTCTTGCTTCCCGTGAAAGGTCTCTTGTTGGAAATAAAATTTGTCATTCGATGGTTTGACCTTAGCAAACTCTTTATAAAACAAACAAGAAAGACAAACTTCAAAAATAAAAAAAAAGAAAATTACAATGAATATTTATGATATTTAGATGTTGTAAATTTACCAGCAAAAATGTCAGTTAAAAGCTTTTAACATACAAAGAGTAAAATTCTTGTAAGTGAAATATTTGTAATACTAAAATTGATGATGTAAAAACTGAAACGTTGAGAAGGCCCCAGATTATATCCGCCGGTGATTTCTGTTCAAACTTTGAAGATACTGGACTCAACCATAGGATGAATAAAGAAAAATATATATAAAAAAAGATCCTAATAAGTGAGTTTATAGAATAATGACAAGACTTCGAGAATTTCAGACATCAACTGAATGTCCGGAGAGATGAATACAACAAAGATGAGGATACTAGTCTGAATAATTCATGGAATAATGACAATACTTCATCTAAGAACTTTAGACAACACTAGGAAGGCTGGAGAGTTGAATTAAACAAAGATGAGGATACTAGTCTGAATAATTCATGGAATAATGACAATACTTCATCTGAGAACTTTAGACAACACTAGGAAGGCTGGAGAGTTGAATACAACAAAGATGAGGTTACTAGTCTGAATAATTCATGGAATAATGACAATACTTCATCTGAGAACTTTAGACAACACTAGGAAGGCAGGAGAGTTGAATACAACAAAGATGAGGTTACTAGTCTGAATAATTCATGGAATAATGACAATACTTCATCTGAGAACTTTAGACAACACTAGGAAGGCAGGAGAGTTGAATACAACAAAAGATGAGGATACTAGTCTGAATAATTCATGGAATAATGACAATACTTCATCTGAGAACTTTAGACAACACTAGGGAAGGCTGGAGAGTTGAATACAACAAAGATGAGGATACTAGTCTGAATAATTCATGGAATAATGACAATACTTCATCTGAGAACTTTAGACAACACTAGGAAGGCTGGAGAGTTGAATACAACAAAGATGAGGATACTAGTCTGAATAATTCATGGAATAATGACAATACTTCATCTGAGAACTTTAGACAACACTAGGAAGGCTGGAGAGTTGAATACAACAAAGATGAGGATACTAGTCTGAATAATTCATGGAATAATGACAATACTTCATCTGAGAACTTTAGACAACACTAGGAAGGCTGGAGAGTTGAATACAACAAAGATGAGGATACTAGTCTGAATAATTCATGGAATAATGACAATACTTCATCTGAGAACTTTAGACAACACTAGGAAGGCTGGAGAGTTGAATACAACAAAGATGAGGATACTAGTCTGAATAATTCATGGAATCATGACAATACTTCATCTGAGAACTTTAGACAACACTAGGAAGGCTGGAGAGTTGAATACAACAAAGATGAGGATACTAGTCTGAATAATTCATGGAATAATGACAATACTTCATCTGAGAACTTTAGACAACACTAGGAAGGCTGGAGAGTTGAATACAACAAAGATGAGGATACTAGTCTGAATAATTCATGGAATAATGACAATATTTCATCTGAGAACTTTAGACAACACTAGGAAGGAGGAGAGTTGAATACAACAAAGATGAGGATACTAGTCTGAATAATTCATGGAATAATGACAATATTTCATCTGAGAACTTTAGACAACACTAGGAAGAAGGAGAGTTGAATACAACAAAGATGAGGATACTAGTCTGAATAATTCATGGAATAATGACAATATTTCATCTGAGAACTTTAGACAACACTAGGAAGGCAGGAGAGTTGAATACAACAAAGATGAGGATACTAGTCTGAATAATTCATGGAATAATGACAATATTTCATCTGAGAACTTTAGACAACACTAGGAAGGCAGGAGAGTTGAATACAAACAAAGATGAGGATACTAGTCTGAATAATTCATGGAATAATGACAATATTTCATCTGAGAACTTTAGACAACACTAGGAAGGCAGGAGAGTTGAATACAACAAAGATGAGGATACTAGTCTGAATAATTCATGGAATAATGACAATATTTCATCTGAGAACTTTAGACAACACTAGGAAGGCAGGAGAGTTGAATACAACAAAGATGAGGATACTAGTCTGAATAATTCATGGAATAATGACAATATTTCATCTGAGAACTTTAGACAACACTAGGAAGGCAGGAGAGTTGAATACAACAAAGATGAGGATACTAGTCTGAATAATTCATGGAATAATGACAATATTTCATCTGAGAACTTTAGACAACACTAGGAAGGCAGGAGAGTTGAATACAACAAAGATGAGGATACTAGTCTGAATAATTCATGGAATAATGACAATATTTCATCTGAGAACTTTAGACAACACTAGGAAGGCAGGAGAGTTGAATACAACAAAGATGAGGATACTAGTCTGAATAATTCATGGAATAATGACAATATTTCATCTGAGAACTTTAGACAACACTAGGAAGGCAGGAGAGTTGAATACAACAAAGATGAGGATACTAGTCTGAATAATTCATGGAATAATGACAATATTTCATCTGAGAACTTTAGACAACACTAGGAAGGCAGGAGAGTTGAATACAACAAAAGATGAGGATACTAGTCTGAATAATTCATGGAATAATGACAATATTTCATCTGAGAACTTTAGACAACACTAGGAAGGCAGGAGAGTTGAATACAACAAAGATGAGGATACTAGTCTGAATAATTCATGGCATAATGTCAATATTTCATCTGAGAACTTTAGACAACACTAGGAAGGCAGGAGAGTTGAATACAACAAAGATGAGGATACTAGTCTGAATAATTCATGGAATAATGACAATATTTCATCTGAGAACTTTAGACAACACTAGGAAGGCAGGAGAGTTGAATACAACAAAGATGAGGATACTAGTCTGAATAATTCATGGAATAATGACAATATTTCATCTGAGAACTTTAGACAACACTAGGAAGGCAGGAGAGTTGAATACAACAAAGATGAGGATACTAGTCTGAATAATTCATGGAATAATGACAATATTTCATCTGAGAACTTTAGACAACACTAGGAAGGCAGGAGAGTTGAATACAACAAAGATGAGGATACTAGTCTGAATAATTCATGGAATAATGACAATATTTCATCTGAGAACTTTTAGACAACA